GGCATTTGAATGAATATTAAAACTTGCAATACATTCTCTAAATTAGGCTTAAATCAAATTCCTCTCAACATGTTATAGGCAGGCAAAAAGTCTGGTTTTGTTATGACTACTTGAAAGACAATAACCAACAGAATACTGTATGCCAGCATCAAAACTAAAAAGCAACCTTTCACAAATTAGTTCTTATGTAATTGGCATTAAAATACAAAAGGTATTCTTTTAAAAAGCTCTCAAATCCTCAATTAAAAGCAAAATTTTTAAACTTAAAGGGAAGAGAGGGAAGGATAAAGGGATGATATTGGTTCCTTACAAACTTTCCATGACTTGTTTATATATATTTAACTTATTCTAATAATTGCTCCCCCCCACCAAAAAATAATCCATACCTTTGAGCTTTCTGGTATAATTTTCTAATTAATTTGTCCTGGGTAAGATGAGGACTCAACAACTGAGCAAAACAATCCTAAAAATATTTCTGTGTTTGTGTTTTTAGTATTTTAGGAATTGAAAACATTGCTTACAAGACATCTCCTGTCCTAAGCAGTAAGAGATGGAGACAGGAAAAGCAGCCTGCCCTATGAAGGCAAATATTAATAAATCTTTGAAAGGTTCACAAGTATAGGACCCTAATAGTTTTAAAATGTTAGGTTAAGGAAACAGAAAAAGAATTCCAATGATATGGGGAATCAGGAAACTGATCTGTCCAAACAGATTAGTCACTAAGTAAGAAGGGACTAAACAATTTAATCTCAAACTTTTTTATACAAATATTCCAAGTAAATACCAAGTTTACTTAAATAATCCAAATTTCTCAAAATTTATTGCTGGAAGAGGCCTATTCCCATTGTTAGCTACTCTTAATAGTTATTAGACACGTATTTTGAGTTAACTATTAAAAATTTCTTTATGCTAATCCTAAAATCTGTCTCAAAAGTCTTTTTCATGGAGCCATACAAAACAAGCTGAAACTCCACAAAAGGTATCATTTTCTTCCCTTCTATTCAATCTAAAACATTCTAACAATCTGTATATCCCCAGATTCCTCCCAATCACAGAGTACAGCACAGTCACGTACATGCATTTACACATCATTTGATGAGTTGAACTAATCGCTAAATTCCTATTTCTAAGATGTTATTAAATACATATGTATAAAATATCTTTTAAAGAATTTAAATTTTCTCTTATCTCAAAGTTTATTAAAAATGCAATCCTAGGTCTCTAGGTAAATTCAGTAACAGGGGCTCCCAAATTATTTCTAATTCAAACACCTATCAATTTTGTTCCACCTATAATAAAACTACAGGGCCATACATACCTTCACAGGAGCTGTAAAACTATGTTCTTTTGCCCAATAGTCTCACTGCTAAATGGGAAAAATGACACCTACCGTATTTCGAACCCTACATCAAAACAAGAGAGTTTGGTACATTAAGGAACCAAGAGATCACAAACAATTCTAGGCTATAATTGTAATTATAGGTAATATGTAAAAGGCTGGTGGTTTTGTGGGTGATTTTTTTTCTCTTCAAATGTTTCTCTGGCATTATGGTTGCATAATTTTAGACTAAAAATGGAAAACATAACGCTATTTCCAAATCATCTAGCCTTAACATCTAAAAAGAGAATAAGATCCCCCCCCCCCCACTTTGGAGAAGCATGTTGCTGAACTTAACTTAGAAGTGCCATTAATTAAATCACCCATGGTTAAAATTGCCAAAATAGAAATACAGAGTCTATTTAAATGGTCAGAAAGCTTGCTAAATCTAAAACACGCATTTATGAAACACAAGATGCTCTCTTGCTGATTCATTGAGGGATTTCAAGTTATGTTTTGTTTTGATTACATAATCCCCCCTTCCCAATGTCAGAAACTTAAAACAGCTGGTTTTGCCTGATTAAGCTTCTGAAACCAGGGTCTAGTAAGCAAAGGCTAGGCTATTCCATTTTAATGAAATAAAATATCCACATATGCCAAACACCAAATATTTGAAAAGAGTTCAACCCAGAAATACCAAAAGCAAATTCTGAATGGAAAGTATAGAGAAAATTTACAATCTTTAGGAAAAGCAGAGATGCACAGGGAAAAGCTATAAACTGCAATGGGAAGATCACTGACTTATGTGTGAATTAACGATGGTAAAACAATCCTTGCTGGGTTCAGTTTTCGAGGTAGTCCTCTGGAGCTCATCTAGGAGTTACTACCCTTTGTCCTGTGGCAGAAAGCTGCCTAAACATACACTTGAATTAAGGACTTATCACAACACAGTAAAGTCTGGAAGGCTTCAAATCCAATTCCTGAATAATCCAAAACACAGTTCAATCTAAGAAATGACAAAAACAAACGGAGACAGAAGCCCATCAGACACCCCCAACACTTGGTCAGTATGGTTAGAAATAACGTCAATCTCCTACAGCAACCAGGAAATTGGATAGGTTTTTATAGGACTGGGCTTAGGGAAGAAACTGCAAACTACCAATTCAGAGCATAAACATTACAGCAGAGAAAGCTCCCTTCACCCCACTACATGTATACGGGATTTTTATTACTCATTTCTTCTTGGTGGTGGGGTAGGAGATGATGGAGGGATGATGACTGAGCAAAACAGGAAGGAGTCAGAGAAAAACACAAAAGTATATAAAGGGAATATATATGCGAAGGGAGGGTGTTGGGTATCAATAGTAAGTCAACCAAAAACACCAGAACTGACAAGCAACTGGGGCCTGAGGTCACCTAATTGCATTTTTTCCTTAAAGGAAAGTCCTAATAAAAGTCAAATTGCAATTAAAAGCATATTCTCAGAATCAGGATCTCCAATCATTACAAATTTTCAATCATGATACCTCAGACTTCACTGTAGGGACATGACTACCAATTAAGTCGAACATCAGTGTTGGCTGACAGGACACCCTCCCAAGTGATATCAAACTGACTTATTCTTGCTCTCCTACACCCCTCCTTTCCACCTTCGTGCCAACCAGAGCCCTCATATTGAAAATAAAGTCTCTGTTCAAACTAGCCACAATGAACTTTTCAGTTTTAGCGTTCTTGTGTAAAATACTTCCATGCCCTTTACCCTAACTCCCTGATTCAAAAACCTATGACTACACTGGGGGTATTGGGCCATCTCTTCCATGGGCCATTTATCAATTACAGCTAGTTTCATTCTGACATGAACCCTAGGTGAAATTCAAACAGCGTCATGGATTAATTTTCTAAATACTGATACAGAAGTAGTGAAATCATCTCCCTTTAGAAAGTTTCATGAAATTAAATAAGACTCAAATAATGAATAAATGTAGTAGAAGCACATTACATTAGATTACCCTGAGAGACTGGATAACTAACACCTTCCACTGCAGTCTAGAGTGATGAAGACAGGACCACTGTCTAACACCAACATCTGCAGAGAATCACAAAACCAAACCCAGAGGTCCTTCAAGAAATCTGTTACAGTGAGTGGCAAGAATCATGAGACCTTCCTAGTATATTTTGAAGAGCTCTAGATACATTCTACAGCCATCTTTTGTAGCACACTTAAGAATTCTTATACCCAGATGGTTAAGATTTTCTTATAATGAAGATCTCTCCTATTTAAGCCCTTTCAAGGTGAAATAGGTTCAGACAAATTAAATGCTTAATGCAAATGTGAATCCTTTTAGTAACTTCTCATCCAAAATCACTGCTTCACAGTAAATAAGAAAAACAAAGGTCACAGGTTCTCTCTAGTTCTTTTTGTTGATACAGTAATCTTAATTGATATTGGAGTTATTTCTCATTTTTTAAAAATTTATTTAAAATGTACCCTACATAATTATTAAAAAATTAGAAAATAAAACATGTACAATAGAGATTTTACCTAACAAATGCAAACACTGTAACCTAATTAGACCCTCATATTAATCTGAAATTTTTTTAGAAGTACAAAAATCTTTAATTTTTTATAACAAAATGTTTCATGTGTGAAAGCTTAAACTTCTCAGATATAGTTTTTTAAAAAACAGAACTATAAAAAATAACCTATAGTCTTAAATTCAATTGTAACAAAAGGACAATCTAACATTGATTCCCTCTAGATTCTTATCTCTAGAAAATAAAAAAATTAATCAATTGAGTAATGAGCAAAACTGTAGTCTCTTTTCCAGTTTATAAATAAGATAAAATAACTGTACAACCCAGACCTTAAAGTTTCTCATGTTAAATGGTAGACACACTACGTTTTCAGAAAATGCATGTTTTCTACATTCTAAGGAAAATAATTAAATGGGACAAATTGTTTACCTTGCTGACAATTGTCTTCCATTAATAATGCATAGCTAAGAGATACTAAATATATATCCACTTAACTTGTAAAGGGTTTCCCTTATTTTCTCTGGCTAACATACTATTTTGTAGGTCTCAGTAACTTCTACCAGAGGCCTTCCCCAAATCCACATTATATGCCCTTGTTGCAAACTCCTGACCTCCCTTTCTACTTCTACTAACAAAGCATTTAAATACACTGTATTGTAACTATCCAGTGGCAACTGGCACAAGGAAGTGCTCCAATATTTGTTGAATAAAGAGGTCAAAAGCAAAACTATTACAAAATAGCCTCAAAATGGCAGAGAAGTCAACCCTTCATTCAGATTAGGCTGCAGCTATAAATGAGGGATAGGAGTAGGTAGGAGTAGGGGTCAGGACAGGGGCAGAGGGAGGACAGTCGTAGATGAGAAAACCCTATGGAATGAGTATACTCCTTTGTGAAGGAGAAAGTGTTTGCAAAGGTTTCTCAAAGTAGTTAAGACCTCCAAACAGGGCAATAAGATTAACTAAGCTATAACTCACATTAACCCATTCACTGTCTTGATGACATATATGAAAGTTTCAAAGTTAGATAAGTCAATTTAAGAGTAAAAAGGGTACACATTTTATTTTACTTGAAAGAAAGTCACATCATTCATGGGTTGTTTAAAGAAGAAAAAATTAATGATTGATTCACAAACTGGATAAATCTCACCTGTCATGGGATCAAAGAGCTGATTAGCTTCTAAGTCTGTGAAAGTACTACTACAGACAGGACATTTGAAGGAGGCCCGGTTGGTGGAATCTCTCTCATCCGTCTCAATCCTCCTTCTCATGTGATCCAATTTATATTTTACCACATTAACGAGAGTACGGTAATTGATAAAATAGTAGTTATGGCGAGTGGTTTTCCCATCCGCAGCAGTCTCTACCCTCATTCTGCATTTGATAAACTTGTCTCCCTTTAAATTATTCAAAACTGATCGAAGTTGCTTCCGATCAAACTTGAGCAGCTCCAACATATCTTCTTCTTTCACACAGGGGTTCCGAATCAAGATGTCCAAGGCCAAGGCATGCTCAATGCCATAAAATCCCCGTATTACATACTTGGCTAACCTCTTCAATGCTGCTGGAACCTCGGTGAGGACATCTGGGTCCGCCATGTTTAGCAGCAAATTCCAACTTTAAATACACTGAATTCAGGAAAGAAGAGAAAATTAGCCAGATATAAGGACATGGTAATCATTCTAATCTAGAATAGTCAACCTGTTACTCGTAGCTGATAGTTACCACTATCACTGGAGTGCCACAAAGGTACTCAAACATTGTTTTAGAAAACTAATACCTAAGCATTTAACAAAGAACAAAATCTTCCTTTAGGGCACACAAAAGAATTTATTTCATAAAGGGTTATTTTTGTGATCTGTATGGTGTGTTTGATTCTAAAAAGTGACACTTATTTTAAAAAATGATATATTATGTCAAGTCCACTTTCAGAAAAGCAACACAAAAATGTTAAATGAAGTGATCACTATTCTTAATGATAGCGATCTTTGGTAAAGTTGGAAACTCAAAGAAACCTAGCAGTTAAAATATCCTTAAAGTGTCTTTATTTTTTTTCTCTTGAGTAAAATTTTCCTATCAAAATTCTAGGATATTTTACATAGTCATGTTTTCATAATAAAATCACAATAAACCAATAAACACATTAAGTAATCACTAATTGGGGTATCTGGCCAAATCATTAACTGTTGTAAAGCTGAAAGAAATTAATAATTAGATACAGACAGTTGTACCAACCTTGAAAAGTTAAATCTGGTAAGTAAAGACCATCTAATCCTTAAAAAGGAAGAAAGGAAGGGAGAAAGGGAGGAGAGTACAAGATATCTTTAAATACTAGATCTCTTATAGGGCAAAGTAGAAGCCATACCATGGCCCAGAAAGCTGTCTTCTCAAAACTCATACTGGCATGTGATTTAGTTAAAAAACCTGGGCTTTGGAACTGAGTTAGAATATGTTTTGGTAGCTGTGTGATCCTGAGCAAATCCCTTAAAATCAAGCCACACTTTACTCTCTGACAATAAGGATAGTAACAACTAGCTCAATGGGGCTATCGTGATTAATGAACAAGAAGGTAATTAAAGTGCTTAGGAAAGTTTATAGGGACAGGTTTTATCTTAATTTAACATGTTCCCCTGGCTCGGCACCTGTGGTTCAAGTGGCTAAGGCGCCAGCCACATACACCTAACGTGGTGGGTTCGAATCCAGCCTGGGCCTGCCAAACAACAATGATGGCTGCAACCAAAAAAAAAAAAAAATAGCCAGGCGTTGTGGCGGGCGCCTGTGGTCCCAGCAACTTGGGAGGCGGAGACAGGAGACTCGCTTGAGCCCAGGAGTTGGAGGTTGCTGTGAGCTATGCCACGGCACTCTACCCAGGGGGACAGCTTGAGGCTCTGTCTCAAAAAAAAAAAAAAAAAAAAAAAAAAAAACATGTTCCCAACTAAGAATGGCTAGGCTATCAAGTTAAGTTTCCCTATTTCCTAGGGAAATTTTTAATAGAGACATTCCACTGAACTATTTCAGTGGGAAACAGTTTCAACCATCCTTTTATTCTAAATCAATGGTTGTCAACCCTATCAGATTTAATACTCCTTTTTAGAAATATTTTGATATTCACAGTACTATACTATAAAGAAATTTCTAAATAACCAACCTATGCATACATTTTTGGAGAAAAAGATATAAAGCCCTACCTATAAGTGAAGGTAAAAGGAAAGTCAGTTACAATAAAATTGTACTTTAAACTGTAAATACATGGGCAGAAGATACAACAAAGTAGCAACTAGATTCAAAACTATGGTTTTGGAGCCTTCCTGTCATCCTAGGGCCTAAGGATGCCAGGCAAGTGCTTAGGTTCAGCAACAAAATAGTACAGTTGCACACTCCTGAACACATTTGTTCTCCTTTCCAATAGTCTATACAGCAGTACACTTGAACCCAGTTTTGGATTTTGTTCTATATACTCAAAAGTTGGTAGAACACAACTTATGGCTTCAGAAACACTGAACAGACAAAAGAATGATACACAAATGTCAACATAATCTATTTTTCCATTATTATTTCCTACTATTGTATTCTTCTCTCCCACACTCCCTAACTTATACACGCCATTCTCCAGATTAATAGTTCTCAACCCTGGCTGTAAAGTAGAATCATCTAAAGAGGATCTTTAGAATACTGACCCTGGGCCCTATTCCCATTGTTTCAGTTGGTCTAGAGGGCCAGATAAGTCATCACACAAATTTTAAAAGCTCTTTAGGTGACTCCAATATACAGAAGTCCCTCACCACTGCTCCAGAGTGCCGGGTCCCTGACTACTGCATATCCCGCTAGCGCCCATCCTGCATGGAAGAGGTCCCTGTGCCACTTATTGCCCAGCCTGTTTCTTTTGCCTGAAACACCTTAGGGAGCCCTGAAGATCAGAGCAAGAGAGTGACATCAGGACTCAGCAATCCAACAGTTAAGTTTCAAATCCTAGTTCTACTATTTCTTATCCAATGATCCCAGAAAATTCTCAGCCTTGGTTTCTTCCTTTACAGAAAGCAATCAACAGTGCCTTCCTCATAAGGTCAATGTATGGACAAAATGAGATGATTCAAGCAGAGTGCTCTGGCCTGAGAGTTTAAGTATTGAGATTCATGATAAGATCCCCTACTTAGAAAAGTGACACAGCAATATGAGGAATTCAGGGTATGTGGCTGGATATGAGGCTGGAATGGGTAGACAAAGGGCAGAGAGTGCATTCTTTTCAACTTTGTGTCTCCATGCCTGGTACATGGTATCCTTAAATGTTTGTATATTTAGAATACATGTGGGTCTGGACTGAGTAGGAAGGTAGGTAAGGCTGCGAGATGGACCAAGTAGATAAAAAGAAAAATAAGGGCACTGAGAGGACACACTCAGAAGTCTCTGGAGACCAGCCAAGTGAAGGTGGAGTCACTGTGGAAGTATTAGAAAATTATGCCAATAAACTAAGGAAGACAGCAAACAACTGAAAGAAAATAGGATAAATGAAACTTATAACACAAACAAAAGACCCAACGATATATTTGAAATAGAGTACTGGAATAAGAAAAAAATCTTAAAGACCTCCTTGTTTGGGGCAGCGCCTGTGGCTCAGTGGGTAGGGCACCAGACCAGCCCCACATACCGAGGGTGGGGGGTTAGAACCTGGCCCCAGCCAAATGGCAACCAAAAAAAAAAAAAAAAAGAGCTCCTTATTTTGAGCCAGTGTAACCAAGAAAAGTTCTACAATGAGAAATAAGTAACACCTGAAGAGCAATAAGTTTGGAAGATGAAGCATTCACTTTGAGATGCCTGTCTTTGAGGAAATACATAGGACAGTAGTATAATGAAATCAAGCTTGCTCAAGATCTCCACGTTCTGAAATCCTACTTCCTGACCACTGCTTTCTCTCCTCCACCATTTCTTCCACACTCATGCTGAATCTCCTGCAAAACTCACTCAATCTCTGGATTTCTTAAATTACTAAGGTCTCAAACAAGCAGCTGGCACATACCCTTTCACCCAGAAAATGTACTGAAATTTTTCTGAATTAGCTGCCAACATTTAAAAATTGTGAGAGTTCACATAAATTTCAACTGCTGGCTTTTCTTGAAAATTGGAAATATCTGAGGGAAAAAGTAAGCCCACCTTCCCACATGGAAACAAGATAAAGCTCAATAGCTGGTGACACTGTTAGGGAAGGAGTGTGGCTGGTCTCTGGAGACTTCTGAATGTGGGACTTCTCAGGGCCCCGGTTTCTTCTTTTTATCTATATAGTCCATCAGGCAGCTCTCACGACCTACCCCTCTACCCAGTCCAGACCCCAGGTATTCTAATCATGCATTTAAGGACTATTGTGCACCAGGCCTGGAGCAGAAGAAACAAAGTTGAAAAGAAGGTATTCTGCCCCCAAGGTCTCTTATCCAACCACACTGGCAAAATGAGCCACACATGCTTTCCCCACTTCCAGGCCCTTGTACATGCTGTTCCCTCTACCCCTACACCCCCTTTTCCTAATCATTCTTCAAGTCTCAAACGACATTTCCTCTTAAAGACCCTCCCGGATAACCCATGATAGCCTAGGATGATCCCCTACACATGTTCCCATAGGTCTTTCCCCTTCTTGCACTTTGTCTCTAAGAGCAGGAGCTTCATCTTGTTCACCAATGGATTTCCTGCATCTAGGAACAGCTAGTCAAGTACTTACAAGGCATCTCCTACGCACGTGTTTTTACAACAGGGCCCATCTTGCCAAGTCCCCCCTCCCCCAATTCACTTCCTCCACCCCTGCTTTTATAACAGAAATAGCCAAGCTTTTGACTGTCTTCTTAAACTTCCAAAATTGTTTTAGGGAGGAGGTGACTGGATCAAATTTGCAATGTTAAAAGATTATGATGACTGCAGGGTGGAGAATAAAAGGAGAAAGGAGTAGATGTGGGAAGTCCTGGTCCGGTGGACTATTTCGGTTCTAGAAGAACTTTAATTCTATACACGTAACTGCGGGTTTTCAGTTAACCACATTTCATGACACTCTCCAAGCCTTCCTACCTACAGCAGCAGACTACTGCGAAACCTCCGGACCCAGCTGTCTTCTATGAGCCGCGTTCAGTAATGTTCATTCCTCCCCATGGCGTGCAAGACCCCAGACTCCCTCGGACTCTCCCAAAGGGGTCACTGCCACACTCGGCGCAGCCAAGTCTGTCGTACACGGGCCTTTCCAGGGTCAATGGTTCTTTGAAGGACCAAGAAGAGGACTAAGGCAAGAGGGTAACTAACGAGAGGAAGATAGTTTAAAAGGGAGAGAAAAACAGGGGAAACCATGAAACGCGAAGCCAAGCCAAGGAACTGGGGGCAAGAAGCAGGGAACAAGGTTTACCGAAGCGAATCTTCGAATACTCCCACTACAGCTTCCCTCAGCGATTCAACTACCGGCTTAAAAGAGTCATGCCACTTGTGCGACAAAGAAAACGCTTTATTCCTGCGACCAGCTTTGGAAACCACCCGCTAACTTTAACCAGAACAGCCAATCAGTACAGCGAAGCCTTCAATCAAGACAGTCACGCTCCTACTGGCCAATAAAACTGAAGGGCCTGCCCTCCATGCCCAGCTCTGATTGGCCTAGAATCCCGGAACAGGCGTTAACCCCGCGGAGGCAGTGGCAAGATGGCATCCTTGGATCGGGTGAAGGTACTGGTGTTAGGAGATTCAGGTGAGCCGCTTAACGCACCTCTGGGGCTCCCCACACTTTTGAGTTATCCAATAGCCCTCCCCAACCACTGCTATCCACTCAACTTCCTGGGTCTACGGCCTGTGGCTGAAGTCCCTGCAGGGCCTAAAGACTACACTTCCCAGAGGACTTTGCTCCCTTTGACGGAGAGGTGGCGTCGCGCGATGGGGGGCTCTGAATCTCAGCTCTTCCTCTTCCAGGCTTTTTCTCAGTCTGTCTCGTGGCAACTCCAGGCTAGAGTATGTTGTCAGTTCTTTTGTTCTAAGATATATATATATAAGCGTTGATTATTATGTAGGACGCTGTGCTGAGGGTACAGAAATTAAAGGGCTGTAACTTACAGTGATTTTGTTCATCAAGGATATCAAACGTGCACTAAGAATGATGTTGGCAGGTGCTTTGCGTAAATTAATTCGTTTAATTCTGAGATCCTATTATAGCATTTTAGAGATAAGAAAAATGAGACAGATGTAAATGACAATCAGTTTGAATCAGAGTTCTCGCACTTAGGCACTAAGCTATATTCTATGAAATCCTGTTTTAATTGGACTGCTTGATTTCCTTGTTCTCATTTGATCTCAGCTGAAAACCTCTCACGTGCTAGACTGTAGGAAATAGAGAAATTAAGGTAACAGTCACATTCTGAAGCAGCTAGGACTTAATGCTAAGTCCGATTTAATCTTAGTGTTAAAATTCTTTTTTTGACACCTGCACATTTGAGAACTACAGTTTAAGTATGCACTTTCACTTCTGACCTCATTACCCTTCATTTTTTCATCATAACCTCCAATCCAGCTGTCTTTAAGAACTTAAATAAATGCTTACCTTGCATTTTATAGATGCACTCTTCTGGAGTTGACCTTTGAGCATGTACTTGAAGGTGGAGAGGACATACCTCAAAAAGCTTGAAAACTAGCCTAACAGAAACTGTTTAAGTGGGGAGATGAAGGTTAAGGATATTTTGTTTTTTGCTTCTTCTTTTCTTCTGAGACAGAGTCTCAAGCTGTTGCCCTGGATAGAGTGCCATGGCATCACACCTCACAGCAACCTCAAACTTTGGGGCTCAAGCCTTTCTCTTGGCTCAGCCTCTCAAGTAGCTGGGACTACAGGCACCCACCACAACGCCTGGCAATTTTTTTGGTTGCAGTTGTCATTGTTGTTTGGCAGGTCCAGGCTGGATTCAAACCTGCCAGCTCCGGTGTATGTGGCTGGCGCCTTAGCCGCTTGAGCTACCAGTGCCAAGCCGGTTAAGGCTGTTTTCATATTGCCATTCATAGTATAGAGAGCATTATTTATTGTAATATTCCTCTAAGAAAGTTGCCTTATGAAATTCTATGGACATAATCGTAATTTGTGTCAACTTCATTGCTTCCATCATACAGCTTGAAGTGATGCTGAAGTTAATAAAATCACTCAGTTACTGGGGCCTGAGAGACTTGGCAAGTATCTCCAAGTAGAATTTAAGACTGGACTATAGAACTAACACAGTTCTTCTTGATATATTAAGTGGCTATTCCCTATTCTCTATATTCCCTTTCTATTGTATCCAACAGTCCCTTCATGTTTCAAACTGTTGTAACAAGGCAATTCAATTCATTCTCCCCCTGCCCCGCCACTGACACTGTTTTGGGTGCTGGGCTTATAATTGTGGAATCAATACATGACTTAAAGGATAGTAGAATTGGCTGCTGTGTTAAATGTAGAAAAGTCATCAGACAATTAGTAAGATTTCTTTTTTCTCATTGTGTTTTAGTTGTAAAACAGAAGACACAGCTGTGCACATCAGAAGTGATTTATCTTATTACACATTTTTTGATATTAGGCTGTATGTGCAAAGTTAGTAATTGTCATTTTATCAGTTTCCTTTTAACAGCTATTTAAAAGTAGAGCAATTTAACATACTTTTAATAGTTCATCTGCCTTTGCATTCAAACTTTATTTTTTAATAAAGACCATATCATCCTTGAAATTTTGAGTGTTTCACAAATATATAAAGTAATGACTTGAGATTTAGAGGCTTATTTTATATCCTATAGAGATATTTGGTAATTTAGTAAGAAATCCTGAAAATCTCACTAACATACTCTGTTCTCTTTGTTCTTTGAGAGATTAGATGAGTTTAACACATTTCCAACAGCTATATTTGGAGCTGACATTTATTTAGTTATATTGAGCCATTTTTTCTCCAAACAAATCAAGTGCATCTTTTGATCTAATTTAATTCTAACAGTAAAAACAGATAATTGAACTTCTCGAAAATATTAAAGAAATGAATAGTTAGCCACTATTCCCTAGTACTTTGACTGTTCTTACTGTTTAAAATTTTATCCAATGTTCTCACCCAAAGCAGTTAATTCACAGAGAGCTATACAGTATTACTGTGTGACACAATTAAGCTAAACTAGGACTTAAGCCTTGCATCAAGCTGGTGACCAAATGCCTAGTTATGTGCCTCCAATGTAAATCTGCATGCAAATGCAGATCAACAATGCATGTATATACCTGAAAGGTTACAGATATCAGATGCAGTGTAGTAAATTCAGTGACAAATATAATTTTAAGTGTTTAAAAACCTTAAATGTATGTAAGAATAAAAAAGGGGAACTTGGGGAAATGTCTGATTCAATTATACAATTACATGCAATGACTATTTTAATATATAAAGAGATCATATAAATTGATAACACTAAAACCTAGTTGATAAATGGCCAGAATGCCTCAACAAAGAATTTATAAGAAAGACAACTGATTTGCAAAGATGATCGTAATATATACGTAGTATCTTTACCAGAAAGTACAGAAATGCAGACTAAAGCAAGATGCAGACTAAAAGTAGTTTTTTTCTCTTATCAAATTAACCAATATGAAAAAACAACTTGATGATGCTGTTGAGTTGCAACAAGACCTGTAGGCTCATGTGCATGGCTGGTTGGCGGAGTAACCATATGAAAGTTACTTGTCAATGTATATCAAGAACTTTAATGTTTGTTTCTTTTTATTTACTCTGTTTACTTCTGGGTAGGTATACTAAGGATATAATTTTTATTTTGACAGAGGTTTAAACAGAAACAAAAATTTTCCCTAGCATAGTGAAAATACCAAAATACCATAAATATCTAATCATGGGAGAATGGTTAAGTAAATTGTTCTGTCTACTCTCTGAAGTACCGCGGAGATTAAAACATGACTATGAAGATTCTGTAGTAACATGGAAACTTATAGTCACTAAATAAATACTAATTAAGGCTCTATTCTGGCTACTGGAGATTAAAAAGATAAGTAAAACCCTCAAGGAACTTAACCAAATGTTAGTTCTAGAGTCCAGTCTTAAAGTTCCTCAAGGAACTTAGATCTCTGAATGCTATCTTAAAATCTATAAACAAACAGATGTAATACCATAGAATCTTTGTGAGTTAACCACTCAAGGGACTGTCACAAACTGATCACATATGGCGGTGGTCAACATAGAAACTAGGCCTACTGTATTTGAGATGTACATGTGGTGTGTTTCTAGTCTATGAAAATTAGGTGGTCAGTGTAGGGAGGGGGTCAACTATGAATGTTCTCATGTAATGTGTTTTAAATGCTCTGTAGGAAAATGTAGGGTGCAGTGGAGGCCCAGAGAATGGCGAATGGTAATCTTAGTTCAACCTGTGTGGAGTCAGAATTATAACGAGAATAATGCTGAGTCTTGAAAGATTAATTCACCAGGCCAGTGGAGGAGGAGGAAGAAGGAAGAGAAGATAGAACAAACTATTGTAAACAAAGATTTATGTTGTTTTATTGTTTTTAATTTTACCATGTACATAATCATAATAACCATCTGCTTATAGAAAAATCCTTTTATGGAATTAAATAAACCTATATGTTGTTAATAGTTGTCATTTTTTATACTTTCTAAAATGTAAATATAATTTTTATAATAAAAATGAACGTAAATGATAGTTCATACACAGTAATGCACCCAAAAAGATGATGTAAATTTTTGATACAACTAGTGATTCATAAAAATTCCCCAACTATGCTTGTCATAATGGAATCCCAAAATGCTGTTCAGTGAATAAGTAACTCCACACATGGATATACAAGGAGAGCTCATTCCCTGACCTCTTCAAACAGATCTCTGAATGCTATCTTGAGCATTAATAACTAGATTGCCCTGAGCCCCAAAGATCTAAAGAAAGATAAAGTGCTGCCTTAAAGTAAAAGGCAGTAGTGTAGAACAGGGAGTTGTTCTTTTTTTTCCAAAGAAGAAGTCTGGGCTAAATGTTTGGCTTCTTTTTTAAAAAATCGCTGTGTGGGCGAACTAGAGTGTCTAAATATGGAATTGTGAAATGGCAAGTCCCTGTCACTGACAGTGTTCAAGCACAATCTGGAAGACAGGATACCATGGAAGGGACCTTGGCATTGGTGTGCGGAATAGAGAGATTACCTCTAAGATCTGTTAAGAGTCTACATTTCTAAAATAGGCTAACTAAATGAAATCATTCAGTAGGAAAGAGATTAGTTAATATGGAAGTGGCTGAGACCAGTGGTTCTCAAGGTGAGGTCCTTGGACTAGTGTCATCAGTATAACCTGGGAACTTTTTAGAAGTACAACATCCAGGGCCCTGTGACAGATCTGCTAAATCAGAAAGTCTGAGGTCAACAGTAGCATTCTGTGTTGGTGATTCACTAGGTGATTCTGCGGCTAAATTTGAGAGAACCACTTCCCTATACAATCTTCATTTAATTCAATAAAGCTTATATTGTTGGTATGGTATGAACAATTTTTGAACAACCATGCTTTACATGTCATTATTCTTGTGTATTCGCAGTCTTATTATCTTGCCATAATAGATTTCAGCATGTATCTTATGTGACAAGAGTTCTTCTGTCTTTTACAGGTGTTGGGAAATCGTCACTTGTTCATCTTCTATGCCAAAATCAGGTGCTGGGAAATCCATCATGGACTGTGGGCTGCTCAGTGGATGTCAGAGTATGTGTCTCTTACGTTTTATTTTTTTAGTAATCCTTCAAGATAATTCCTTCAAGCCACCTGACCAAATTATAGTACTACAGTCAAGATTAGGTAACAATAATAGCTGAAATTTATTAAGCTCCTGCTATGTGCCAGGTACTATGCCACATGCTTTACATGTCTTGTTTTATCTTCTTTAAAGTAAGATACATAGATACAAAAACTAAGGCATAGAGAAGTAAAGTAACTTGACCAAATTTACTCAGCTCATAAAAAGCGGAGTTAAGATTTGAACCCAGTGAGTCTGATTTCACAGACTGCAGTTTAAATCACTGCCTAGTGTTCACTTAACATGCTTATAAGCAATTCTGCCTAAGCCTTGGCCGCTACGACTGCCAACTTCTAGCTATAAATAATAGTGTAAGAGCAAAAGCTTCTGGAGCCTAATGTCTGGGTTATCTGTTCTATCTCATAGGAGAGATTCTCTTAGGAATCAAGTGCAGTTTCCGTCAAATTAAGTATCTGCCTAGGTATTGTTGGTCTTTGCTAATACCAGTTAGTACTAAGCACCTCTCATCTGCTGGTTCATCTCTCTCCTTGAGTTAAGAAATAAATAGGGAAGGAATGGTAGTTAGCTAGATTGACAATTATTTTCCTTCCTTTCTTTGAAGCTGTTGTTTCATAGGCTCTGATTTATATTGCTGCTAATTAGAAATCTTCTGTCAGACTAATTATTGGTCTTTTTTAAGGTAAGGTCTTCTCCCTAATTGCCTTTAAAAGATTATTTTTTATCTTTGATATTCTGCAGTTTTGCTAACCTATGACTAGGTGTGGATTAGTTTTTATTCATCCTATTCAGAAGTTGTTGTGTCTTCATTTTTCAAAATTTAATCCATTATCTGTCTTTCTTCATTTCTTCTATCTCTTTTGAACTTGCTTTAGGTTTTTGTCCCCCATATCAGTTAAATTGCACTGTCATACTTTTTATTCTTATTTCTCCTTGCTGCACTCTGGATGACGTACTCATCTGCCTTCCAGTTAAGTAAGAATCTTTTCGGCTATGTCTAATTTGCTTTTTAACACCATCTACTCAGTTTTCATTTCAAGTAATTATGATTTTTATATTCCCAGATGTTCCTTCTGGTTCTTTTTCAAGTATAAAAATTTTTCACAATGTTCTGGTCTTCCCTTACAGTTTTACTTTTTATTTTAACCATTTTCACCATACTTTGTGAGTTTCTTTGGGATTGTTCTATTTTTTTCTGGAGGGAGGATAGTTATCCTATGTGTATGTGCTATATGTAATAGCTTCCTTCATAAGCATGAGTTGTAGTGTGCATAAGTCAGATGTTCATAACTCGGGGACTGCCGGCACATGCTACTGTATATCTCCTTGTGTGGTTTGTAATTCTTTGAAGATGATCACATCTTCAGCAGGACTTTTCCTCTCTCCCTGTGGAAGGCCTGGGTGCTAGTTGTGAAAGTATCTCTATACAGCACCTTTTCATTTCTGTTGCTGCCAGGGATCCCAAGATTTCAATTTCTTAGCTCTGGGTTTCTATGCCATCTAGATAATATAAATTCCTCTAGCATCCAATTGTAGTACAGGCCTCTGGTTTTCATTTCTTGTAGATCTTTTATCTTTTATCTGCTTTCTACCAGCCTTCCTTGAGGTCCTGGACAGAAAGTTTTTGCTGCTTGCCTGAGCCTGGTCAGAATTTTTCCAATTTTCTCTTCTCACTAACTGGGTAGTTCATCCCGTGTCCAGATTTCAAGAAGGGAACTACACTGTAGTCTTTATCATTCACCCACATATACTCTTACCTTCAACGTTGGAAAACAGGTCTGCTATTCTAACATGGACACTAAGACTCCAGGCACCAGCCCCTGAAGCTGTATCTGTGTCTGTGTCAGATCCTGCTTCTCACTCTGATTTTAAGTTTTTTCTTCATTTCTAGCATCTGGGGGATATTCCTTTCCTTCTCTTAACTTTCTTTTGAGTTAGTCCCCTCTGTATGTCTGTATGTCTCACATTCTCTCTTAAAATATTTTTGTAGCATTTCTGTGAGTTTGAAGTGGGAGAGATCTGTATATTTTCATTCTGCCATTTTCTAAATCCCATGGCAGCTTTCTTTAGGTTTGGAAGACCCAGTAGCAAGTCCTGGACAAATTCCCCTTTAGACTTTTCTAGCTGCTCTTCTGTGAAAGAGCATGAGGTATTGAAAAGAAACTTAGATTTAAACACTCACTTCCTGGGTCTGTTGCCTTTTATTTCTTAGAGTGACCTTAATCAGTTCATTTGTCTGAGGCTTAGTTGTATCATCTGCAAAATAGAATTAAATAACACTTACTTCATCTAGCCTACAGGTTTGGAGGAAGTGACAGAGAACCTTTTTTTTTTTTTTTTGAGACAGAGTCTCAAGCTATCACCTTGGGTAGAGTGCCGTGGCGTCACAGGTCATAGCAACCTCCAATTCCTGAGCCCAAGTGATTCTCTTGCCTCAGCCTCCCGAGTAGCTGGGACTACAGGCGCCTGCCACAACGCCCAGCTATGTTTTGGTTGCACCTGTCATCATTTGGCAGGCCCCAGCCGGATTCAGACCCACCAGCTCTGGTGTATGTGGCTGGCGCCTTAACCACTTGAGCTACAAGTGCCAAGCCAACAGAGAAGCTTAATAGATGCAAAGTTATGATCTAGTGCTTTACAATACAAAGTTAAAATTGAATTTTAGTCTAATTTTTCTGCCCCTTCTTTTATCCCTCTCCTAAGCCTCTTTTCTGTCCCCACCCAGAGCCCAATCTGTTCATGTTATTCACCTTTTGTCTTGTTTTGTTCCCCTCTATCTTACTGAATCAGCTGAACTCTAGTGCAATGTTGAACGGAAGTGGCACTAACAGGCATCTTTGTTTCATTCCTTATCTCATGGGACATATTCAGTATAATATCATTAAGTAGGGTGTTTGCTGTAACAGTGTTTGTAGGTGCATTTGATTAAAGAAATGTCCTTCTCTTCCTATTTTGATGAGAGTTAATGTCATGAGTAGGTATTGAATTTTATCAAGTTTTCATGACAATCCTCCTTTTCCTGCTTAATTCTATTACTGTGGTAATTATGTTGATTGTTTTTAAATGTTAAATCAACCTTGAAATCCTGGAATAAATCCAACTTTTTCTTCTTGTACTAGTCTTTTTATGTTCACTAGATTGAGTTTCCTAATATACATTGTGTGCAGTGTTGCACATGAACTTTATGATCTCCCTGGATTTATATTTTTCTGATATTTGCACCTATATTCATGAGAAAGATTGGCCTATCATTTTCTTATAATCTCCTTTATGGAGTTTTTGTATCAGGCTTACGCTAGCCTCATAAAGTAAGTTAGGAAGTATTATATCTGTATCCATTCTCTGGAAGAGTTTGTTTAAGATATAGTGTTACTCCTTTCTTATATAATTGAAAGAATTTACAGGTAAACATCTGGACCTAAGGTTTTCTTTGTGGAGAATTTTTAAGCAACCTTAAAGAAAACTTGAAAATGACTACATTTCTTCCTGTGTCAATTTCAGTTTTTTATGTTTTTGAAAGAATTTGTTCATTTCATACTAAATTATTGCCCCTAGAGTTGTTTTTCTGTCTTCTAATTATCTTTTAATAAGGTAATTGAACCATAAGACTGTTAGTACAAATCCTACAGAGGAAATCCCATTTTCTTTTCTGGTATGGGTAATCTGTGGCTTTTTACAAAATGCTTTTGGTCAGTCTTACCATAAGTCTATCAGAGATCAATTTCTGGCTTTATTGATTTTCTCTATTATATGTTTGGGGTTTTTTAATTAATTTGTGCTCTTCATTCTGTCTATACTTTCTTTGAGTTTAATTTTCTATATTTTTCCTAACTTTTTAACATGAGTAATTTCTTCATTGATTTTTTTTTTCAGGGTTGCTTTTAGAGCTCTCAGACTCTAAAATTATTTCAGTACAGTTTTAGCTACAACCCTGAAATTTTGTTTATTATCATTCAGTTCAAAATAGTGTCTAATTTCCATAATTCTTCTTTGATTCATGGGTTATTCAGAAATGTGCTTCTTAATTCCAAATGTTTGACAATGTTTATTATCTTTTAATATTGATTTCTAGCTTACTTTCATTGTGTTTAGAGAATAAATGCTGTATGACTTCATCCTTTGAAATTTGTTGAGGTTTACTCCATGTCTCTCACTTTATGGTCAATTTTGATAAATATTTCATGTGCCCTCAAAAAGACTGCATATTCTATAATTGTTGGGGATACAGTTCTAAATATGTAAAATAGGTCAAGCTAGTTAATCATTTTGTTCAAATTGTCTCTATCTCTACTCATTTTTTTGTCTGCTGCTTTCATCAGTTACACAGCAATGAGTGTTATAATCTCTAACTATAAATGTGATTTGTCTATTCCTCATTTTAATTCTGCTGATTTTTTATTTATGTATTTGGAGGTTGTGTTACTAGGTATATACTAATTTAAGATTGCTTTCTGAGGGATTTAACATGATTGTGACATGTCACTGTCTGTATCTGGTAATATGCTATGCCTTAAAGTCTGTCTTGTATGATATTAAAATAGCTAAACCAACTTATTTTTAGTTAGTGTTTGTGTGGTATATCTTATATATGTCTTTTAACTTTCATACTTGCTATGTCCTCATATTTATATGGTATGTCTCATTTATATGGTAGGATATAAATAAATCTTGTTTTGATGACTAGTCTAACAATCTTTGTCTCTTAATTTGATCCTTGTGCCTTGTCCCCAGATAATTTTGAATCCAAATTATACATGATACCCAGGAATCTTCTGTTATTTTTTTTTTTTGAACACATTTATTTTTATTTATTTTTTTTACTGACATTTTTTTTTATTAAGTCATTTGTACATATCATATACAGATCATGAATATATTTATGCCATTATGGGATTCAATGTGTTGATTATTTGTACAAATTGGAGTGCTTACGTCCTACTAATCAACATAG